CTACAATGCAAGACTGCCCATCCAATGCTATGGGTGCCCTAGACAGTACACTGATAAATAAAGGGATGCATTGTTTAGTCCTGATCAGATAAAAGAATGAAGTAACAACATCCAATATGACAAATTAATCATCCACCAGAGTCCTAGGCCACCATTATCCAGACCTCTCCAACACCCATCTCATCCTGAGCTTGGAAGGAGAGGTACATCTTACTCTTACAGGGTATTGGGAGTGGGATTTGTTATTGATAATTGCTTCAGGGAAGAGAGATACTTTTCATTAATGGTCCTGGATGCTTGTGTACTGGACTTGTTTGCATTGTTAAATATCTGCAACATTCTGGTCCACAGGTCACCACATTTCAGTAGTAGATGAAGTGGTGAACATTAGGGCTGTGCAAAGCTTTGGGTGCTGATTCGATTCAGAGGAGATTCGGCCCAATTTGGCAGCCGAATCTCTGAATCCAAATCAAATGAGGAGACCTATAAAAAGGTCTGAATTGATTCGAAGCTCTCTGAATTAATTTGGAAAAGATTCGGAGAGCTTTGCAGATTTGGGCAGTCCCCGCCCACTGCCGCAGGGAGCTGGACCCAGACTCCGCACCCTGACCCCAGCCCCAGCTCCTGGCTCTTTAAAAAAAGAAAAAAAAAAGAAAAGCCCCTGGTTACCAGCTGCCGGGGGTAGGGGGCACTGATCCCTGCTGACCCACGTTGAATGGGGGGGTGGGGCTCTACCATGAGCCCCCATCCCCCACCTGCTCTCCCAGCCCCCCTATGGCTGTCCTGCCTGGCCCCTGCTTGTGGTACTTTAAAAAAAAAAAAAAGAAGCCCCCACTTACTGGTTGCTTCAGTGACCTCAGGGTTTTGGGGGCTTGTGGCAGAGTCCCCTCCCCATGCAGCGTGGGGCAGTGGGGATCCCCCTGTCTGCCTGACAGCAACCGGTGAGTGGGAACTTTTTTTTTTTTTTAAAGAGCTGGGATCTGGGGCTGGGAGAGCAGGTGTGGGATAGGGGCTCATGGCAAAGCCCCCCATGCAGCACGGGGCAGTGGGGGGCAGCAGCTATCACCCCCCTGCCTGGCAGCAGCTGGTGACTGATGGGCTTTTTTTTTTTTTTTTTAAAGAGCTGGGAGCTGGGGCCGGGCAGCCATTGACGGGGCTGGGAGAGCAGGCAGGGGATGGGGCCTGTGCAATTTGGACGTTTGGTCGATTCAGTGGCAGCCAAATCTCCGTGTCAAATTCAGCTGAATTGATTCGGGACAGTGATTCAAATCACTGAATCTAATCACTGTCCCCTGAATCAGCCGAATCCGAATCAAATACTAGCTTCTTCGCACAGGCCTAGTGACCATCTGTAGAGGTCCTTTTTTTGTGCGCTGAAGCCAATGTTAGGTTTGCTTTTGATTATATTGTAGGAGTGGGGCCTGTATTTTGTGCTGGCTGGTGCTCTATTGCAGTGGTTCTCAACCTTTTTTCTACCAGGATCCCTATTTAAACATCGGTGGCCAGTCCTGACTCAGGAAATAGTTTAAGTAGAAAACACACAAGTATTTTGGCCCCCAAATATTTATTACACATTACAAGTTAAAGCAGCTCAACAGTCTTAATTTTAAAGACAGAAATCAACATCAACAGGCAAATATTAACAGCAATATCGACATGTGGCCCTCCATTACGCCCAAGTGACTTCATCATTGTGCAACTTGCACAATGCAAATTGCCAGTGCCCCTCACTCCTGACTTGCAGCCCCCCAACTGTGCCGGTGCCCCTTATTCCCAACCCACAACACCCTACTCTTCCAGCCCTGCTGGTGCCCTTCACTCCCAACCCACTGCCCCCCACTCCCAGGCCCAAGCCCCCCAGTGTGTGGGGCAGGAGGTGGGAGTGTGGACCAGGATATGTGTGTGTGTGTGTGTGTGTGTGTGTGTGTGTGTAAGGCATGGGGGGGCATGCCCCCCCACCTCCTGGTTTGTGCAACCACAGCAGGCACAGGGCAGTAGCTTGCACCAACTCTGCAGCCCAGTGAGCAGGACCTGGTGCAGGGCAGCAAGACTCATTGCTGTTTCTGCTGCCACCAGGATCCCTGTGCCAGCCGCATCACTAGCAGCACCAGGAGTAATGTGGGGGCATGCTGCCCTCACATCCTTCTACCACCAGCCACTTGGTGTGCTGGGCCACAGCTTTCCCCCACCATGACCTGCTTGCCACCGCTGCTCCCCTCAGGCTGCCTGTAACCCCACCACCCCTGTGGCAGGTGGCAGGAGGAGGTGAGGGCAGCACGGCCTCCCAATCCATTACATCGCGTGCTGCTAGCAGTGTGGCTGGTGCGGGGGTCATGGCAGCAGTGCTCCCCACTCCCTCCTCCTGTGCTGGGTCCTGTCTGCTGGGCCACGGAGGCAGTTCCTGCCTGTGGTAGTGTGTCCATATTGCAGCCCCATCCCTGCTGTAGGCACACAAATTTGGGGGTATGTGCCCCCCCATTCTCCTCCAGCACATCACCTGTGCTCCCCCCCCTCCCGATGCATTGTTTATGCCCCCCCCC